AAATGAAAATTTATTTCACTAATCGTTGTGTTTGTATTGGCATTTGTTATTTGTTAAACTCGGCATGACGTTGCAAAACACGTAAGCTCATCGAAAGTTCAAGCGTTCTTTTTTTATCTCGATAGATGGAAAACAGCTTGGGTAATTAAACGATAATTTGTCAAAATGAACACGATTTATTATCGAAGTTTTAAAATTACTCGAATTTTTATCTAAAAATTATTAAATAATATAATTTAAACTTACTTTTATCACTCGAAACAACAATTTTAACAATTAACAATTTTTATTTGTGGAAATAACTTCAACTTCAAACGTAGAATATATTCAATATCATACAATATTTATTGCATAATAATTTAATATATTTCTAGCACGATTTGTTTCCTTTACTATCGATCATATAATTTTATACCTGTGTTCTATAGTATAGTATGAATTTTATGCTAAAACTTTTTTCTTTCTATTGTCCATTATTTTATTAATAGGATGTTTCATTATTCTAGCCGAAAGAGAAAAATCATGTATTTTTGATATGATATAAAAACAATTTCTGATACAATTGTTGTAATTGTAAATATAAAGTAATAACGATTCTTGCCTGTCGGATAAGTTAATATTATTTAATTAATGAAAATCAGCTTCATTCTGTAATTTTTACCTGTATGTTACAGCCCTTATGTCGAAGAAATAAAAATGGATCAAGATCTGTTTAATAAATTATGGTACAATTTAATGTAATTTAATAAATTTCTGTATTGTAAATTTCATCATGATTTTTATATCAGATAATAATTTATATCACGCATGTTCTTATAAAAATTTTATTCTCATATTTAAATTTTTATCATCCGAAAAATGCAATAAATAGAAAAATTATGTTAATCACGAATAGATTATTTTATTGCAAACAATATTATGCAAGAAGTATATATCTGCTTATATATAAGAACGTATTGATCAAATGCTTGGAATAAAAAATAATATTGATAGCTAATACGACTACTATTGATAACTAATAATATTGTATTATTAGCTAAAATATTATTGTATGCATAACAATATGATATCTGTATTGAGTTGTGTTTCTTTCTTTCTATCAGTTATTTTGTTAACAGGCTATTTTGTGACACCAACAATGGTAAAGTATATATTTATATCATATTTATATATAATATTATGAATAACATTTCTTGAGAACTATAATTCGAGAATAAATAAATTCGTTTGATTATTTATTTCTAGTCTGCCTTGTGTAAGTGTCAGAGAATTATAATACCTCATATGTGTTGGGTATGTATAATATATTAAACATATTTGAATTATTTTTAAACGATTATTTTCATAGTTTTTATATTTTTTTTTATTTTGTAGAAAAAATGTGGAAGGAAAGGATAACTTTTTGCACTACCATCTCCATCGAATGATATAAGTTAATATTATTCGATCATATTAATATAACCAACTTTGTTTCATTATTTTTATTTGCTTTATTTTCATATTTTAATCTTTTGTTGAATTATTGAAACAAGAAGTTTGCATCAATTAGTTTATAATTGTAACAATGAATTATTGTAAATTATAATATGACTTAATAAATTTCTGTATTGTAAATTTTGATATCTATATCCGAGTATAGTAGATAATAATTTATGCATACTTTTATATAAATTTTAATCTCTTTAAATTTATTGTTGAATAATGTTACTCACGAAGAAATTATTTTATTGTCACGCAAGAACTTATCTACTTCTATATAAACACACGTTGGTTAAATGCTTGGAATAACATTGATTATTAAGCACAACAATTTTATTGCATACGGAACAAAATGATTTCCATGCCATTTCCATGTATTTACTTGTTTCTATCTATTATTTTAATAACAGGCTACTTTGTGACACCAACGATGGTAAAGTATATATTTACATCATTTATGTATGATATTATGAATAATATTTCTTAAGAATATAATAATAAATAAATTCGTTTGATTGCTTATATCTAGTCTATCTTGTGCAACTGTAGAAGGCCTATATTGCCTCCTAAATGTTGGGTATGTATAATGTATTAAAAATATTTGAACTATTTTTAAACAATTATTTTCATAGTTTTTATATTTTTTCATTTTATAGAGAATATGTGGAAGGAAAGGATAACTTTTTGCACTACCATCTCCATCGAATGATATAAGTTAATATTATTCGATCATATTAATATAACCAACTTTGTTTCATTATTTTTATTTGCTTTATTTTCATATTTTAATCTTTTGTTGAATTATTGAAACAAAAAGTTTGCATCAATTAGTTTATAATTGTAACAATGAATTATTGTAAATTATAATATGACTTAATAAATTTCTGTATTGTAAATTTTGTTATGATTTCTATATCCGAGTATAGTAGATAATAATTTATGCATACTTTTATATAAATTTTAATCTCTTTAAATTTATTGTTGAATAATGTTACTCACGAAGAAATTATTTTATTGTCACGCAAGAACTTATCTACTTCTATATAAACACACGTTGGTTAAATGCTTGGAATAACATTGATTATTAAGCACAACAATTTTATTGCATACGGAACAAAATGATTTCCATGCCGAGATGTATTTATTTGTTTCTATCTGTTATTTTAATAACAGGCTATTTTGTAATACCAACGATGGTAAAGTATATACTTACATCATTTATAATTATAATATTATGAATAATATTTCTTGAGAATACAATAATAAATAAATTCTTTTAATTGTATCATTTCTAGTCTATCAAGTGTAATTGTAACAGGAGAAATATAAAGCCTCATATTTGTAGAGTATGTATAATATATTAAACATATTTGAACTATTTTTAAATGATTATTTTCATAGTTTTTTATTTTATAGAAAAAATGTGGGAAGAATGGGTAAATTTTTGCTCTTCCATTTTCATCGAGCGATGTAAGTTAATATTATTCGATCATATTAACATAACCAACTTCGTTTCATTATTTTTATCTGCTTTATTTTCATTTATTTCAATTTTTTGTTGATTTATTGGAACAAGAAATTTGCATCAATCAGTTTATAATTGTAACATTTATGAATTATTGTAAGTTATTATATGACTTAAATTTTTGTATTATAAATTTCGTTATGACTTCTGTATCTGAGTGTAGATAACATTTTATGCATATTTTTATATAAATTTTAATCTTTTTAAATTTATTGTTGAATAATAATCCTCATGAAAAGATTATTTTATTGCAATTAATATCAGGCAAAGAACTTATCTGCTTGTATATAAACACATGTTGATTTGAAATGTTTGGAATAAAGAATAACATTGTTTATTAAGTAGAACAATTCTATTGCATACAGAACAAAATGATTTCTATGCTGAGATGCATTTCCTTGTTTCTATCTGTTATTTTAATAACAGGCTACTTTGTGACACCAGTAATGGTAAAATAGAGTAATGGTAGAATATATAGACTATATATTCTACAATATTATATATAATTCTTTGAGAATATACTAATAAATAAGTTTTTTATTTGATTATTTTTATATTTTTGGCAAATATATTGTATTATATTGAATTTTATTGTATTTTTTAGCCTTGCAATTGTATGGCGCCAGAAAATGTACATTGCAGAGTATGTTAAATTTATTTGAATATAATTAATCATTATTTATTTATTATTCATTATTAATATATTTAATCATTATTTCGTATTATGTTTTAATTCTATTTTTAATAATTTTATAGAGACGTTGTCAACAACATGGATAAATTGCGTTCTGTAAATTGGATTCATCAAAATGATTATAATGAATTTAAAATATTATATAACATTTATCTCTATATGTTCAAATATTAATAAAAAATAAATTGATTGTTTGATTTGAAAGGCTTCTAATTTGTTTCTGATAATCCAATGTTTCTTATTTTAGAAATATGATAATTATAAATTAATATATATATATATATATATATATATATATATATATATATATATATATATATAT